ACGGTAGTAGATGTTAAGCATAATTCCGGGCTCCTAGGGGAGAAACATGACATGAAAAAATGCTTGCTAAAGTAGATCGTTAATATTCTTACTGTTCCGGTGTAGACTCCTGGGATAGACACGAGAGGACCCGGGGTTCCATTTCCGCCGCCGGTGACATTGACTTGCCCACAGCTGATGTAGAATTGAGCTGAATCAAGGCGCGGATTAATGCCTTCGAACAATCTAGAGCAATATTAATAGCTTACCGCCTCCAAAGGTCGATGCCGCGTGCAGGGCAATCTGCTCAATACGGACGAGGTATTGGCCGGAAGGAATAGACTTGGGGATATTGAAGCTGTAAGACAGAGCGTCTAAAATCTTCTCAGTCTCAGCGTTATTTATAGCGACGAATTTTATTCACTTTGTGCGGGGAAAGTTATGCTTGATCCGCCATTGGTGACCGCGGAGATCTGGTAAACCTAACGCAGCCGTGTCAGAGCGCGCATTAAATCCCTGGAGCAGACGCACCTTGAACCAGACAGCGCCGCTTCCGTCCCATGTGGCTGCATTACCATTAGGCGCTTTCGCCATGTACACATTGACGACCTAAAATTGCTGAATAAATTCTTTACAGTTACTGTCACTTGTTTGGCACATACACCAGGGTGGTACACGGCACCGTTTGCCTGGAAGCCGATTGATGAGCCGGCTGCGACGGTGGCCGTCAGAGCCGGGGCGTTGATAGCAGTGTTATAGCATCTGAAATCGGCGCTAGTGACATCGGTTACCTGGATGAATATTTAGATAGAAAGCATGGGCCATGAAGAGTAAATTATTTTCAGTGGGAACGTACGGGAGCATTGCTCTCGAAGTTGTTGGTTTGCCTGACATCGGCCCAAGCAGGAGTCACTGCGCCGTTTACAATGAGAGAGGGAAAGGTATCTGAAACCGCATTCGTTATTCAAATTTAAATCTCAAATCAATAGCAAGGAAAGAAGACGTACAATGCGCTGATGCAAGCGCCGCGAAAGAGACCAACACAGCTGAGAGCAGCTTACTGGAGAACATCTTGGGGAATGGTAAAGAAACGGATCCTGTCTTCATAATGTCAACGCGCCGAGCTTTTTATAAGAATCGAAAGGGTCTTGACCTGTCTTGACATGGTAGTCGCGTGGTGAGTTATCGAGGCAACACAACCTATTAGCTAATTTGTCGAGCTTCTCTTCTCCCCGTGGGATATGTCATAGTATCAAGGTAGCAAATAGTGACATGTATCCGACACTGACTGCTCGTATGCGTCCATGCGTCCATTGAATTAAAGACTCGATCTTCGTGGTCATTCCAGCGGGATAGGAATATAATTGAGGATAATTATCGGGGTCGGTCTCTGACCAAAAGGCAGCGACTCGCGTCCCGAGGTAGAGATTTGATCCACAGCGGACAAAACTACGGGGTTTCGGGAACTTGACAATTGATCTTGATTAGATGTTCAATATTTCAATGCTGGACCTACAGTGTCGAATATGTGTTTATGGACATTTAGTCGCACACGCCCCTAATTCTGTTATTTTATCCGGCGTCCATTCAGTTTCCCACTTGTCCGCAATTCCTTGAACCGTTTAGAATATTACCAGAGATAGGATGCGATTATATGTGACCAACTACAACAAGCTTTTCGGGCTCTGCTAAAATAAGTGCTCAAATAAGCATCCACATGTTTCTATTCGTCCGTTTGTACACCAATTTTTTATTGAGCCAGTCGATAATAAGACGCTTCACATTGCCTTTCTAAAGACGGCCCGGATGACTTCTTAATTTTATATTGGAGTGATCCCATGCTGCCTTCGTTCTACTTAGCACCGTTCGAAGCGATCCGATGCCTAGGAATAAGAATCCGACATGTTTCCCTCAATCGTTTTACAGCAGGAAAGGCAATCGTGTAATGTACGAAAACTAGTGCCAAATATATACAGGGCACTGTGGTGGAGGAGACAAAGCTATATGAAGCCTAGCAGAGTTGATATGGGCGGCATTGGCCAATTCTATTCGCTATCACTTACTCACTTAATTTCCCGAGCTCGTCCCAATTGTTTTAATGATTTGAAAAAGTGTGGGCTTTGAAAGTCATCGAAAAGTTCCTACAGATAAATTATTTCCCAGTGCAGACTGACTGATGTTAGATAGCTCAGAAATTTGTGATTTTGACAGTGACTTAAGCACTGCTAGTACAAATGATTCTTATTACTTCAACGATCAAATCTTTCAGGGAGAGGTCAGAGACAATAGCATCAATTGCCCGCACCCTGACCGAGGTCGATGGCGATCAGGGACCGCTCACCCGGACCAGACAGCCTTACAAGTGAAGTCGGGTCAGAACCTGAGGGAAACGTGGACAACAGAAAACTACTCACGGGGCCTGGTTGGACGTAGGTGGCCGGGACCGCTAGAAGGTAGGATCATCGTCGGTCAATACGCGAAACGAAGCGCGGAATCCTGAAGATTAACTTACGGTAGTAGATGTTGATCAGGATTCCGGGTTCCTGCAGAGAATAAGCATTAGCATGACGCCATCAAGCGGTGTTGGATAGGCGTACATTTCCAGTGTACACGCCCGGGATGGAGACGAGAGGGCCTGGTGTTCCATTTCCGCCGCCGGTGACGTTGATTTGTCCGCAGCTGAGGTAGAATTGGGCTGCACCGACGCCGGATCAATACATGCTCCACTCAGCAGTGGCTTAAGTATATTAATAACTCACCACCTCCGAAGGTCGACGCCACGTGCAGGGCAATCTGCTCGATGCGGACGAGGTATTGGCCCGAAGGCAGAGCTTCAGGGAGAGTGAAGTTGTACCCCAGAGCGTCTGAAGATGCGGAGTCAGGCCACAAGTTCACGCAGAGGGCAGCCAAATTTACTTACTCAAAGCGGGGAACGAGATGCTTGACCCGCCGTCGGTGACCGCCGAGATCTCGAAGACCTATGCAAGCGGTATCGAATGTATTTAAGAGAGGAAGGTCATTTTGCATGAGATAGATACACGTACCTTGAACCAGACCGCACCGTCTCCGTCCCAGGTAGCGACATTACTGCTGGGGGCCTTCGCCATATACACATTGACGACCTAAATTCTACCTGTGAATTTAGTGTTTGACATTAGCAATTGGACACGCACACCGGGGTGGTAGACGGGGCCGTTAGCCATGAAGCCGATGGAGGAACCGGCAGCGACAGTGGCCGTCTGTGCTGGAAGGTTGAGGGCAGTGTTGTAGCATCTGAAATCGGCGCTGGTGACGTCGGTGACCTGTCGATATCAACAGCGGAATCAGTATAACATTTGTAGAAAATATTAAGCATATGAGAACGTACGGGGGCGTTGCTGTCGTAGTTATCGGTCTGCCTCACGTCAAGCCAATCAGCAGTCGTAACTCCATTGGCGACGAGGTTGGGGAAGGTGTCTAATATAAAGTTATACGGATGTAAGTGTTCATCTCGACGTCAGAGACGAGGACGTATACATACAGTGAGATGACACGAATGTCGCCAACGAAAGAAGCGTGACAGAGAGGCACTTGCTCGAGAACATCTTGAGGAAGGCGAGTTAGACTGGATCTTGCTTTCCAATGTCAACATGCCAGGTATTTTATAGTATCTGAAAAACCCTAGAAAATGCAATCGCGTGGCTGCAAATTGCTGAAGACGTTTGCTATTTTGCGTAGCCTATTTTTTGCGTGGCCTATTTTGAGCATCTTCTCTAAAGTCGTCTTCGTCGGCTAGGTCATAGCAGTTGTGTAGCCAATGGCACTCTCTTTCTGCTTTAGGTTCCAAAATCTTGACGGAAACGAGGACATGTGCCCGCGGTGTTGCAAACAGAAGCTACTCAGCTGTCTCGGCGAGTAGGCATAATAGGTTAATTCTCGGCCGCAGTCAGGTCCAGAAGGCAAGTTTGGCCTTCGTGATTCGTGCTTTGCAATACCGGACAAAGTGCGCGGGGTTATAGGTGGAGGTTCCAATCACAGGGAGCTCCGAAGTGGGTGGCGTCATCGATAGCGAAAGAGAGTTGAGGCTATATTTCGGAAATAATTATCCGGCCTCATGAGTTGACTAATTTACTAGGGAGAAGACACCTTTGAAGATAGCGTTTGGAAGCATTAAATCCAGAGATGTTTTGCTCAGCAACGTAGCGTATTTCTTCGGGCTGAAAAACAAGGCCAGCTAGAGAGGAACAATTCGATTGTCGGAGCCTGCAGGGTGCTCGTTGAGATGTCGGCAATATATTCCGTATAGATGTTAAATACTTAGAGTGGAGCGATTCCAAGATAAGAGAATGGCTGACAGATGCAAGAACACATTGCGGGTAATACACCTGGCTAACAAGGCGTCGTGGTCAAACATAGACGCAGTCATTGAGCACGTAAACAGTAATATTGCTGGAATCTCACTGGAAATCTTACTCCCCAAATCAGCACATGAAGAATAAGAACAACTTCGATTCAAGCCGCCCAAAGCACATGGTTCAGTCGAAACAATGACGGACGCATACTGGCGTATGCCGCCATTCCATGTTACCAGCTGGTCGGCGCTCGCTTCATAAGTCGGAAGCCGTTTGACATTTCGCCGTAGCAGAGCAGAGTCAACTCCATGAAGATCCGAGATAACGTTTATAATGAAGTAATAAGTGGGCGCCATCGATTGATTTCGAGCCTGAGGCCAAGGTGCCGAATGGTCAGCAGAAACAGAAACGACACTGTTGATAGGAGTTTGTGGACAGATTTCAAGGAATGGCGGATTTTGCGAGCTGTGGACCTGAAGACTGGCGTCTATATAGTCAGTAGACATGTAAAGGGGGCAAAAGAGGAAGAGAACTTTTAGAGTCCGTGTGGTTGGATTACTTAATTTCGTATATTCCCACAATAACGAATGTCTTGACTCAGTTAATCTTCCGTGCATCCATTCAGACACATTTTACAAAACAAATTTACGATTATTCCAATTTTCGACTAGGCGCCCTCTGGTGCCTACAGGTGAGATGGCCGAGCGGTCTAAGGCGCCAGACTAAGGATCAGAGCAATTATTGTTCATCATTGGCTATTCGAATATTCGAATTGTTATCTGGTCCTCCGGGGCGTGGGTTCGAATCCCACTCTCATCAAATATTTTGCTCTCTTTTTCATCAGCATGTAACTGGACGGTTCTCACGCTGCAAACTTCAAACTTCAAAGTAGTCTGTGAGCAAACGACAACTATCGAATTCGCTTCTTCCACAACGCCAAGCCGCTGTACAGTAGGTGGAGGCCCGTCTCATCATTTATGCCAATAACTTGCTGTATTGACCCCCTGCAGCAAAAATGACAACAGCGTCTACGGCCGCCACCAGCCTGAGCGTCGTGCATCGTGAACGCCGATGATCGTTTTGCTTCCCCGGCAGCATGACAAGATTGTCACTACGCTCAGAGTCGTTAGCATGGATATGTTCTTCGACGTCTACATCAACACGGACCTCGAGACGCGGATAACACGCTCGCTGAACTGTTGCGTAGAGCAGGGAAAGTTGGCACACCCAACAGCACGCACCGCGCACTCGACTTCTGGAATCACCTCGCATCTCGTGAACATCATTGGGGAATTCCGGGGTGATTGTCTGCGAACGCCCTGCTTGAGCGTGGCTGCGGAGCACATGTGTGTATAGGTGGTGCGTCTCATGTCAAACTGTTGTATTGCGACAAACTTACTCGTGCTTTTCCCCAAGTCTGTAGAACCCCTCGACTTGTTCTGGACGCGCTGAGCATCAATGGGTGCTGCAGAAATCGTCGAGAGATACACTACTTGTCCAGCAAGGTCTTGATGGTCGCACCGCTCACCGGCACCTCAAACCGCGCACTCGCTCAATCACGGTTCCGCCACTTACATTACCTCTATATTTTACCCCAACGCCGACAGAACTATCCTAGCCTACCTCCTTCGATTTGACATGCCACCGGATATTTTGGATGTCAACGTTGGCAATCAAACTCTAAGTACGGCTCCCCTCTCTGGAGTCATACTCGTTTTGGACCTCATATTCGGCATGGTTCTTCCTCTACTACAATGCATGCATTTTTGGATTGGCTGATAGAGAACTTGTGTAAGCGCCTTACTTCTCGCATCGCTGAACCTCTGTAATTGTTGTTATTATTGAGTCGACCTATTACAGGCCAATGACTTCTCAGAGCCGACTTGGAAACTCGCGCGGGGGATGCTTCGATATCAGGTCAACGCACTCAGGAGTCAGGATATACTTAAGTTCGGTTTATAAGCTGGTGTGCTGATTCCCAAGACCCATCATCGTCCGCAGAATGTACTTCGTCTTCGCCTTGCTCGCCCTCGCCCTCGCTCTGACGGCCTTATGGTATCGACGAAAGGAAAACGCAGCGTCTTCGATGCCTCCTGGGCCCCCGCCACTTCCAGTGATCGGCAATCTCTTTGACATACCTAGGAAAGCAGAAGCTCTGGCGTATAGTCGTCTGGCAGACAAGTATGGTATGTACGTCCGGTCCCTATTTCACTTTACATGGCTTGACCTTGGCATGATAGGCAATATGGTATATATGTCCGTGTTGGGCAAGAATATCTACCTAGTCAGCTCCGTCCATATTCTCAACGATCTCTTCAACAAGCGGTCCGCGAATTACTCTGATAGGCCTTATTCAACTATGCTGCACAAATTGTAAGCCGATATACCACCCCTCCAAGTGGTACGTCTTGATCATTATTGTTTATAGGATGGACTTGGAGTGGATCTTTGCTTTCCGGTCATATGGTGCGACATTTTGGCTAGAAACCGAGGCCATATTAACCTGTAAAGAAAAGGAAATGTTTGGAGGGAACAGCGCAAATTATTTCATTCTCAGTTCCAAGAAACCGTCGCCTCCGACTATATGACGCTTCAGGTTAATTCCGCGCGGGATCTTGCGCGGGCAATCCTCGCCTCGCCAGAAGATTTAATTGAACACCTTCACACGTTGGTCTTCTTTTCAATCAAAGAAAGAGCTCGCATGATCGTCTAACTTATTTTATGCCAGGCACGCAGCCAGCGTCCTCATGGGCATGACATACGGCTTGAAAATGACACCTCAGACCTCTGAGGTAGTACGAATGGCAGATGAAGTGGCGATGGCGTCGACGAAAGTGGCAGTTCCGGGGTCGTATCTTGTCAGTGCTCCTGTCATTCATCCCTACATATCCGTGAACTGAACTTTTGGTCAATTTTTTTGAAATCTTAGGTCGAATTTCTGCCTATTAGTGAAGTCATCCTTCTAATTATGTTCTGATATATGGTTCTCATCTATTTCCAGTGCAATATATTCCAGAGTGGCTCATTCCCGGTGGTGGTTTCCGTAAAGACGCTAGGGAATGCAAAGAGAAGGCAGCAATGGCTAGGGACGTCCCCTTTGAAGCAGTAGTCAACGATATCGTAAGATCTGTATTTAAGCACCATTCGCCAGATATCAATGTAAATAACTTTTAAACAGGCAAAAGGAATTGCAAAGCCGTCTTTTACAAGCAAAGCTTTGGCTAGAGATTCGCGGGTCGACCAACAACTAATCAAATCGTGCGCGGGAGTGGCCTACTTAGGTATGTTCAGCTTCCGCCTACTACCTGTGTTTTCGTCTAATCTCGAATTGTGAAGCGGGAAACGAAGCGGTTCGTTTAATATTGTTGATGGGTTTTATTTTACCTACGTGCGTTGCAGATCATGGTTGCCTTACAAACATTTGTCCTTGCTATGGTGGCTCATCCAGACGTATTAACTCGAGCGCAAAGAGAGGCCGACAGTGTTATGTGCCAGGATCGTCTTCCTACCTTTGATGACCGGGATTCACTACCTTATATCAATGGGATAGTCCACGAAGTTTTACGGTATCGTTTTCAAGTTTCTTCTTGATATCCAATCTATAATTCAACTTCATTTCTAGGTGGAATCCCCCTGCGCCGTTTGGTTGGAATATATTCTCAAATGCTCACAATAATTAGAACTCACAATATTCTTTGCAGCAATACCACATATGTCAGTAAATGACGACGAATACCAAGGCTACCACATACCTGCAAAATCAATAATCGTCGGAAATCTCTGGTAGGCCCGGTCCTTTATGCCGGCTTCGTCGATGACTGTCTTCTCTTAGGAAAATCCTCCACGACCCGGAGGTATTCCCAGAACCGATGCGCTTTATTCCCGAGCGATTCATTCGCGGTGACCAAGACCACAACTTGGAAGCCATCATGGAAAGCTTCATGGCAGTCTACGGCCTAGGTCGCAGGACTTGTCCAGGCCGCTTCGTTGCTTTTCAACAGCTATTCATCACGATCGCGACGATCATTAGCTTGTTCGACATCACAGCTGGGGTGGACGAGAACGGGAAGCCCAACAAGGTGGAGCCGGACTTTACTTTCGGCCTTGTGTGGTCAGTCCAAGTCCCTCCAGTCTTGCGATGACTGAGAACGCCGGACTGATGTGTTCAAATTGCAGCCAGCCTCTCCCATTCAAGTTCAAGATCTCGCCCCGTGGGGCCTTCGTTCGGCGCATGCTTGAATTCGCAAGCAATGATTGATCATTGACACCGTCCTCTTGGAAGGTCCAGGGTATTATTGATTGTAGCTACGAGGTCGGGCTGGGATATGGGCGCGAGTCAGTATTTCTGTGTGTGTAGAATAGGCAATTGAGCAAGAAATACTTATTAACAGACCTGCAAGAGGCCACAAGGAGGCGTTCATTCGCGTACGACCATTGCACTGATGGCGAATTCTAATGCTTGCTTGCAACTGTTTCCAGCGACGTTGAGGCAGTGCGGCAAGAAAGATTGAGATGTTCGAGCGATCGGGAAGGATCGTCCGCACAGACCTGGTGTATAATCTATACTGTACCGTGACATATTTACTCGACTGTCGCGGTCTTATTTCCACCCTCCGGGCCGCCGCGCGCTCTTCCTCAACCGCGTTCATCAGTGTAAAATGGAAAAATGGATAATCACCAATAATGCCTTATAAAGTCTCCGAAATACATGGAATTTTCTATCATAGGAATCATATGAAAATATCCTTACAACAACGGATATAAGGGGATTGTAGCGCCATCCCAATTTCCGTAATTGTCGTAATGTTGCTACCCTTCCGTTGTACCGGGATACTTTTGAAGAAAAGCTATAATGAAATCGCAGTTTCTTATGAGTCGTTCTCAACATGGTTGCTCAACGTCAGCCCAGGCAGCCGCTTATAATTTGCGCGACAATCTCAGATGGTATTACCTTTGGAAGAAACATTACGGTCGAATTGTACTACTACCGCACGTCATTTCGAACACGGTCCCTCGGCGTCGGATTTCTGCGTACTTATGATGAATATGAAAGATTCAAACATAAGCATGATTTGAGGGTTGACACCAGTCAAATTGTAACTCCTATGCGTTGTTTTTGATATGGTGGCCCAACGTCAGCTTGCTGGGCGCTTACAACTTGCGCGACACTCCGGGAGAGTATAATCATTTGAAACAAGACTACGGYTAGCTTGTAGCTCTTGTACGTCATTTCAAATACAGTCGCTTAACTTCAGATTGCCAGGTGCTCATTKCTAAAATGAAAGAAACAAGTAAGAGGATAATCTAGGGAAACACTACAGTCAAGTTATACCTCTGACACGTTTACATCAACCCTGTCGCTCCGTATMAGCATGCTGGACGCTTATAAATCGAATAATACATTTGAAMTATAGTATTGTGCAAAGAAGGGATACGGTTAAATTGTACATCTTACACATTATTTTCGACACGGTCGCTCAATGTACACCTTCTCAGCGCTTATAACAAAAAAAAATAATCGAATAATAGTAGCATTCGAAGAACAGCCTACAGTTAAGTTATAAATACACAGCCGGTTATTGTCAGTCTGCTGGGCACTTACACCTTCAATAACGGGCTGTAGAATCACTTGAGGCAATGCTACCGCCAAATTGTAGTTTATGCACTTTCTTGCGCACACGCTCGCTCAATGTCAGCCAGCTGGGCGCTTATACCCTTCCATAACAGGTCCAAATAATCGCGGTCACTTGACAGTCCATGTACAGCCTACASTTTGCATGACAGTTTCAGGCTGTATTGACATTTGATGAAAATTAWTG